ATGGGGAGATATTAGTTTGGATTGAGAAATTCCAAAAGTTACACTGACTTTTTTTTATATATAGTGTGGACTGAGATATAGTTTTGGGTTCCCAAATAGGAGGGTTTGCCCTTTCCTAACTATATGAAATATAGTAGAGGTCACTAGAGGGTTTGTAGTCTATTTCATATAGTCTTGAAAGGGCTAATAATATATTTTGTGGAACAAAACAATACATTTTTTGGAATCAAACAATTACAATTTTTTATGGTGCATTTTGTCTCAAATTTTGAAGGCTTTGCTCTTCTGAATTTGCTGTTGTGGGTTCTTTGCCAAGCCTGGGAAGAATGGTGGACTGTTGAAGTAGTTCGTTTGAAGTGTCTGAGCTCTTTGGTGGTAATGTAAATTCCTTCAAAGCATCTTGAAGGATTAAAGTCAAGAATGTGTAAAATTGTATTTTGATATTTTATCTTGTAAATCTTTGATTCTTGTAATTTTCTTGGTTCAATCTATAAAATCTTTCTTTCTTTTTTTAAAACAAAATTAGAATTGTGCAGGCCTTTTTGAGTTGGATAAAACATCAATTAATTCATAATCATGCGACAAAGTGGTATATAATATGAGTGAGTATGGTACTTATTACCAATTCTACAATGCACCATATAAATTCATTCGCATTGCAGTTGACCTGTGCCCTGTTACCCAGTTCTTCATGTGTCATCTTCACCTGTGCCCTATTACCCACTTCATGTGTCATCTGTCCACTGGCTTTGTGGGGATTATCATACTTAGATGCAATATAGTTGGAAGTGCCACTTCTACATCCTCCCAAGAGGCAAAACTCCTATACAATGCCCCACTATACCCTACAACATGTTGATGACATTCCTCTCATGATGGGGTAAAATGCCAACAACCCTACCCTTAAAAACAACATACCATTTATGTTGTTTGGTCATTCCTGGTTCAAAATCAAAGTAAAAAAGTTGAAGATCTTGAAATGAGAGTAGAAAAGGAAGGAGATGTAGAACTAGAAGGGAAGGGATGAAAATATAGAGGAGTAGAAAAAGATGCAGATATACTAGTCAAGACATACGAAGTTTAAGTCTTCTTAAATAATGGTTTAAACGGACAATAAGGGCATTTATGTACTTATACCATGACATGCCAACTGTAGTCCAAGGACTACCATTATACTCAAAATAGTATTCATGTACACCTTTATTCCAGAATTTGTCTATATCTACCAATACTCAATCAAGAACCAGTATCACCAACTAGTCTATGCACTCCAATCTAATGTCCTCAACATTTTAATTAAAAAATATGTTATACTCCCAACCACTTGTGAGGTTGAAACAACTTCTAACCAGGAACAAGCCCTTCTTCCATTGTAAGCAAATTTATCGAGAACTTGCAACCTCTCAACCAACATGTGCATCCTCTCGCAGATGTCCTCACACTCATCCAACAACTCCTTCTCTTCTACGCCAAAATAAACCTACTAAAAAGACTAAAAATCCATCAACAATGGAGGGAAGAGAAAATCCATAGAATGTAGCAAGAAACAGGTGAAATGCTGAGGAGTATGGATACAAAAATCAGAATCTCAAACCTTATCGCAATTTTTAATATCACCAATGAAACAAGAACAAGTTTGTCTGATAACTAAATTTAAGACATTTTTTCCTTTATTCTTCATCATAATTGTTGCTTGCTGCCAAAACCATTCATTAAGTATACACGATTAACAAACATATATCATGAGTATCACACAACCCAACGATGAAGAGTATGGATACTTTACCGAAAACATTGTTGGGAAGTACCATTTGGCATTTTGGCTGGTGCGATTGATCTTGGTATCGGGTGACATAACACAATGAACCATATTTATCACCTGTTAATCAGGAAAAAAAATTAAATTATTGTGTATTGTAAATTGTTTTGGCACAATAATTGATGGTAATAATACATTCAAAAGTAATCTAGTTACATCATCAACTATCCACTTGGTTCCCCATAAGGACTGCATTGACTTCCGAGTCGTCAGAAATATGGTGTCGTCGAAATCTACAAGAACCTCTCTACATGTATTGAAATGGTACCAATTTGTCAATGCAATGTACCAATTATGCTGAAAGAATACAGTTTGATAAATTATGGATTCACTTACGGTATTTCTAACGATTTGTCCAGTATGTACTCCCACATTGACTCCTCGTGGCTTCGCAGGACTCTTGTTATGTGAGGTACTCCCCTCTGGCATATCAATATCATCTTCATCCTGCAATGTTATGAACACAATTATCCAATATTACCAATTAGGGCAGTCAGTATTCTAATATCCAAACAATTAAAAAATTATGAAATGATTCACGAACGCTGTCGTCACCATCACCATCACCATCACCATCACCGCCATCATCATCAATATTTTGTGTATCCAATTCCTCATCACCTCTTTCATTCTTATTCAATTCCTCAACACCTTTTGATTTGTTACCGATGGTGTTGACTCGGTTGGATAAATTTCTTAACAAGTCCTTTATAGTAGAAAGCTCGACATCAACCATGAGAGACAAATCTCGAAAATCTAATTTGATTGCAGTCTGTGTCACCTCTAATCTGGAAAATCTTGAATCAAAATCCTGAACAAATGAACAATATGTGAACAAAGGAACAATTTGTGAACAAATGAACAATCTACATTGGGTGTTGCGTAATAAAGATGGTAGCAATGATAGGGTGTTGAGTAATAAACATACATCTGCTTCTACTTTGACGCATGCATCAATCGATAGCCGGTGCTAGCACACATCATTAACCGTCACCTTAATCTACATCAACCATTCAATATACATTTAAAAATAATGGTAGATCTCATTAATATACTACATAAAGCATGATGTGTGTTGTAATGATAAAATACAAATGACTTACCTTGTAATTTTTATATCCACCTAACTCCTTTAGCTGCACAAGGCACGCACCTATTTTTACGTCATCCCATTCTGCAATACGGGGGCAGGATCGTGATGCCAAATCAACTAGATTCTTCCCCATAGGTGTGACGCGTTCAAAGAAGAAAATCTAGTTAGACGACAACAAATAACTAATTATAGGTAAGTAAAACCAAAAATTAGAAGGAAATAATCAATGAGTATAATACGTCACCATGAGGAGAATAATACAACCCTTGATACAGTTATGGGGAGCCATCTTGTAGTCACGTACCGCTTGAATCATTTAGTCAAATATAAACTTTGCCCAGTTCTTACACTTCAAAGATACCACATCTTCAACAATGGGAAGAAAGTGCCTACTAATTTTAATTTCATTGGGCACAGGAAAACTCCAATAATATACAACACAAAGTATTGCCAAAATTGTTGAGAATCTTCTTTCATTTTCTTTATTTTCTTCCCTATATCAGTCGTTGACAAGAGAATTTTTCCTTCATAACATTAGTTATTCTCGATGCAGATTCGTTGGTTTCCAATCTTCCCCTCCACAATGCAACCCCAAAATGTACTCCACATCCTCAGGACAAAATTTTATGAATTTTTTGAATACGTTCAACAAGCAAGTATTTAGATCAAATAGTTCAAGTAACCACCAGCAAAGCCCTCTCTTAAGATTGTGGATTTTCAAACTTAACAAGCCCCCCATTCCAATTTTTGCCACCCCCCGTTTCTATTCATCCGTCAATGTTTCAATTAAGCTTACTACCTTTTGGGGTGAGCATCGGGTTGCAAGTATATTCTACAAAAGTGTGTAACAGTATGACAATTAGTGAATCGACAAAATACTGAAATTGTTGAATGTAATGCTTACAAAAAATTTGAGTTTGCTATTAACTTTTTTAACTGAAGTACTAGAGGTTGCACTCCTTGGCGGTGAAATCTTTTTGCACGTTTGATGCTCCACTTGTTGTCCAGCTTCGATTTGCATCTTCTTGGTCCTGTACAATGCACTATGTTGTTAACCTAATGCAAAAGAATTTGAGTATCCCAAAAATTTCAACAAGAAGTACTTACATTATTGTAATTGTATTCCAAACAAATAGCCTGCCAAATTTAGTTTTGTCATGGTTAGTAAACAATACACATAAAATAAGCATAATGAAATCATTTACATATTAACTTATCCATATATCTATATAAGTAAGAAGTCATAAACAATAAAATCAAACCATAAACACCCATAACAAATCTGCTCTTAATCAAACATAAGCAGGCATAATAGTTGTAACCTAATCCACACAGGTTGGAACCTAATCCATAAAGCTTGTAACACAATCTAAACCATATCGAACTCCACCAAAAGTTGTAACCCAGCACTCTGAAAATAACCAACCACTTAGAAAACTTGTAACCAACCACCCAGACAACTTGTAACCCATGAAAAGTATTTGTAAGTTAGGACATATAAAATTAAAGAATTTTGGGTCTTCAAGTAATATCTAAATAGAGAGAGGGGGATGTATTTTTACCTGTTGTGTGTTGTGTCCCACTTGAAGGAAGTAAAATGGGGGGTGAAGCGACCAAGTCTTCAACTTGCTCGTTGATTTAGGTCGAGTTTTCGTGGTAGATGTTGTAGACGATGTCCCAAATCCATCCATCCATACAAAAACAACCAAAGTGTCATTAGTTGAAGTTCAGAAAATCAAATGTAATTTATTCTATATGGGATAAAAAGATAAATGGGTTACAAAAAAAAACCCTAATCACTGACCACAAATTCAAAGAGACCACAAAATCAGAAAATATAATAAAACATATTTTGGAAAGAGAGAGATGGGTTTTTGGTGGGGTTTCAATGGGAGTCGAGGCAGAGAGATGATTTTTGGTTGGGGTTTCAATCGGAGCCGAGACAGAAAGATGGGTTTTGGTTGGAGTTTCAATCGGAGCCGAGACAAAGAGATGGATTTTTGTTCGGGTTTCAATGAGAGCCGATAGAGAAAGGGGATGGGTGATACATACATACACGTATAGAGCGAGAGAAAGAGAGCTCCATACCTGGGTAATGAATTCTTGGAAGAAGATGATGCAGCAACAACTGGCCTCTGTGAAGAGGATGAGCTGTTGGGAGTTTTAAAGTGCTCCTTGGAGTTGCTATAACAAATAAAGAGATAGAAAGAATGGGTAAAGGGAGACAGATTGAAGGAAGACATGAAGATGGGTAGAGGGAGACAGATCGAAGGACACAGAGAAGAGGGAAAGAAGGAAAGGAATTTGTGTGTGGAAGCAAAAGGGGCGAGAGACATTGGGTCTTTTGGGGGTATTGTGACAATTGATTTTTTTCACTTTACACCCTAAAATATAAATATTTTCATATTGCAACTTAAGATTAAAATATGTTGTACGCAATTTCTAATACTTTTATATAATTGCTAATATTATAAGAATTATAATTTTTGACAGAATATATTAAGGATACAAAAATTTTGGGAAATAAACTGTTTTTATTAACAAAAAAATGGGCGTGATATGTTTCCGCCTAAAAAATAGTTGAATTTTTTGAAAAAAAAGTCAGTTTCTTCCATCAGCCACACCCAACCAAAAAAAAGTGTAACCAACACAACACAACATACAACATAACTTCAAAAAGTTAGTTACACAAGCCTAAAAAAGTTGTACTGTCACCATGATATCCCACATTTAGGGATCCACTATTACTAAAAGTTAAAGCAACCCAAAAAAGTTAAAACCTCACCCCCTACAAAATTGTAACCAAATTCATAAAAGTTGGACCCCATCCCAAATATCTATATAATAAAGTAGAACGGATTTGAATTTTAGAGACAAAGAGTGGTCTAAATCATTTCGTGACAAAAAAAAAGCATTATCTAATGGACGACGTTATCTCAAACTATCTCGAGCTATTGACGTGTCAGATCGTTTTGATCCGACGTACCACATTAACTCTTTTGAAATATTTTTGCTGCTAAAAATTTATAGTTTCCAAAATTGATATTCCAAAATTTAATTCCGCTATATCTTTTCCTTAAATCAAGCAAATCTCTCTCTCATTCTTCTGTATCTCTCTCTCGCACACTTAATTCAAGCAAAAAATATCAATTTTTCACAATATTTTTCTTTGTATCTCTCTCTGTATCTCACTAAAATATTAGATAGTGTCTGATTTAAGCAAATATTATATCTCTCTGTAGACAGATAGTATATATTACGAAAATATTCCTCTTTATCTCTCTCTGAAGGAAAATTATGTAATAAATATTAGATAGATAGCATATATCACGAAAATATTCCTTTGTATCTCTCTCTTTCATTCAAGGAATACTATAAACACGAATCATATAAATTCAATAGTCAATTTTATTTTTTCCATAATCAATAAAAAAAACATAACTTGCAAAAAATCTAATTTAACAAATAAAATATTCTTAACATGTAAAATATACAAGATTAAATTCAAGTTATTGGGCAACTCAGATATCAAGAGATATATTAAAGAAAATATGCTTAACCTTTAAAATATACAAGATTAAATTCATATACAAACAGAAATCATACAAATTCAATATTTAGTAAACAACACAAAGCAACAATATTTACTAAATAATCAAAATCTAAATAACCGAGAAAAATGATAAAAAATTACAATGCCCAAGAAACGATACAAAATTATAAGCAAATGTTTGGGGTAAATGCAATTATTTATGCATTATATTATTTGGGGTGAGATTTCAACTTTGTTAGATAAGGTTATAACTTTTTTGGGTGGGTTCAAACTGGATCTACCAAAGCTTAAAGCCAACCCAAAAAATTTGAAACCCCAACTCAAAATATTGTAACACAAAAAAGTAGTAACCCATCCCCAAAAAAGTTTTAATTTATGCAACAACCACAATCTATCCCATTTCTTTCCAAAATCACATCAAATAATAAATGCAAGCCAATGAAATTTGTCAGCCACAATATAGTTGGTAATTATGAAATAAATGATATTAATGTATCCCACCTAACATGGTTATGTTGCTTGAACATTCTTCAACCCCCTACAATTTCACTCTTTATTCCATTATCCTCCAAGCAATTTTACTCTTTATTCCTTCATCCTCCATTCAATTTCATTGAAACATTTAGAACCCCCATTCCATCATCATCCATCCAATTACGTGGGCGATGTAACTATTATGTGTTTGATGTTAATTGCATAATTTTCTTTATGAATGTTTACTAATTTTGATAGGCAATATAGGAAAAGATAGCACTATATAAACTAATATTGTCAAAACACAAGGTTTTTTTTTTTTTTTGCATTATATACAAAATTTCTACAATTGGTCAAACATTTGATATATAACATGCATCTATTGTTAATTATTTTTCTGTAGGTATAATCAACACAAATGTCTTCAACTTATTTACACAAAAAAAAAAAAGCACACTATTATAGACCTAAATGAAGATGTAATGGAGGATATGTTACATGATGTTGAAAATTATGAAAATGAGAACATGGAACAAAAAATGATGGATGAGTTAAAATTCAAAGAAGTTTTTGAAATGATGTTTGATTCACACGAGGAGGCAAGAGAATTTTATAATACCTATGGAAGATATGTGGGGTTTAGCATTCGAAAAGATGACCTAAAGTATGACAAGAACCACATGCTAATTTCAAGAAGGTGGGTTTGTTCAAGAGAAGGACCACGTCGAACAAGTAAGGGAACCACGAGGTTTAACAAGGGTTGGATGCCTTGCAACATTGCGTGTGAAGTATGATAGGAAGACAGGAAAATGGGTTGTAAAGAAGTTTGTTAAGGAGCATAACCATTCATTGGTTCCAACACGTGGCGTACCATTTCTTTGATCACATAGGGGTGTTAAGAGTCCTGACAGAGCACATGCTATATCATTGCGTAATGTTGATAAACGAACAAGTCAGATTAGAGATTTCATGTTGCAACAATAGGGAGGATATCAAAATATTGAATTTACCACAAAGGATTTGTACAATGATGTAGCATCCCAACGTAGAGAAGAAATGAGAGACGGTGATGCGAAGAGCGCATTGGCATACTTCAGCGCCAAGGAAGAGTTGGACCCGCTATTCTATTTCAAGTGTAACATCACTGAAGACAATTCGCTAAATTGTTTGTTTTGGGCGGATTCGACTTCCCGAATAGACTATCCTAGCATTCATACGTTTAAATATAATTGCATGAAATTTGAATCTATTGGGATTCGCTACTCTCATACGATTGCTATCATGAAGTGTGAGCACCTCAAAGAGTTTCCACCTAGCAATGTGATGAAAAGGTGGACAATTACTACAAAATTCGATTATCAAACAAATGATGTGTTGCATACATTGAGTTTCCCATCAATTTCTAGAAGATATGCTGGACTTATGTCTATGTGCAGCAAAACGTGCTACTATGCTTCACAGTCAATGTCAAAAACAAATGACGTGAGAAATATGGTACATCAACAAACGTCTGGTCTACAAGCCCATCACGAGTCAATAACTAAAGGTTATGATGAGTCTCCAATATCCCATTTCAACATGAATGTGAAAAATGACAAATTTGGCGTGGATAACCCAAAATTTGAGAAGATTAAGGGAAATCCAGGACAGGTGTGTAAGAACATTTCAATTACCCCCACAAAGGTGTAGTAAATGTAGGCGTATTGGACATACTTCTAGAAAATGTCGACTACTTATGCCCCATTTGAATGATCCATATGAGAACATGTCATTTTCACATCTGGATGAATCGCACCAACCATTCAATCTCCATTATTTTTTTCATGCATCACAAGAACCAGTGCTTGAGATGCCATTCTCACAGCTTGGTGGATCACAACAACCCTTGCCAACACATGAAGATGAAGACCATTGAACTTCTTTTTCAATGGCAAAAGTATGTTCCCTACTCAACATGTTGTGTGCATCAACAAAACAACTGTTGCAGTGAATTCCTAGCATTATATTACAAACATAACATCACCAAACATCATGACATCCACTTTAAAATTACATAGCATCAACAAAACACCATGACATCCACTTTGCATTTACATACTATCAACAAAATACCATAACATCCACTTTCAATTTATATACCATCAACAAAATTACATAGTAAAATTTAAAATTCAACAACTAAAATGTTATCTACAATCCAACAACTAAAAAAGAGTACTACTCATTTTTTTTTGAGTCAACAATTTAATCTCCAACCGCTTCAGAGACTCTTTGGTGTCTTCCTGAAGTTGCCTAAGAGACTCATTGGTGTCGTCACGGAGCTGCTTGTGAGACTCTTTTGTGTCTTCACATATTTGCTCCAGAGACTCCTTCATTTCTTGTTGCAACTCCTCCTGATTTGCCAAAATTTGTGTAAGCATTTTTACAAGCATATTGTTATCCCCTACAAAAATACTTGCCCCATCTGTCACCGGTGGATCTGGATCATATGAATCGATTTGCCCCAAACTCTTTTTTAATGTGCATTCAGCAAATGGACTCATAGGGGAATTATAAGTGTCAGTTGGGTGAATGACAACTCCATAATACATCAAGATCTTTGAAATTCATATGGAGAATGAGAGATTTTTTCGCTTATCTTCAAGGTCAAATGCTGAAATAATTTCATTAAATATTAGACCATGGAGATCTATACTTATCCCCTTCCCAATGGCATAGAGGAGACGAGCTCTATCAAGTCCAAAATCAGAATTGTACCTTCTCGGATTAATATTACATCGCACTATACGGTTTAAAACCCTATAATTAGCAGTGAGATATCTTTGATAAAATGTGTTTATTTTCACAATAAAAGGTATACCATAAAGTTCTAGTGCAACATCCTAGGTGGTAGGTTTATCAATGAGATTCTTGTATGGGTATGTAACAGTATTGTCAACAATAAAGGGTGAGGGAACCTTCAATATCTTTGAAATCAAATCCGGGTTCACTTCAAAATGTACATTTGTCATATAAGATTTAAACTTCAAATCTTCCTTCTCAACATCATACATATTTGCATAAAATATCCTCACTGATCCATCATAAGCTTTATGTTTCTTATCTATTTCAACTATAGAATTCCAATGTCGCAAAGCAAAAATAGCAGCACAGTTCACATTTGTCATCTTGTCTAGGTGAGCACTATGCTCTTGTAACACAAGCCTATAACAAAACCGATTATGATAAAGCTCTTCACTAATTATGTTGAAGAAAGGATTTACTAGAATGGATGAACTTACCAAATTTGGGTTGGATGAACTTGCCAAATTTGGAAGATATGAGGAGTGATCAACATTTTTATTTTGTTTTGGATGAAAGGATCAACTGACTTTGGACAACTGGAGGAATGGACCATAATTGGAGGTTTTGGACAATTGGAGTGATCACTGACCTGTTTATTCTTCATTTGCCCAATTCCACCATAACAAGTGTTATCCACTTTTGGTCGATGCTTTCCCTCAGCTTTCCTCTTCTTCTTTGTTTCCATCAAAATTTTTGTGAATTCTCTTGTGTATCTCCGTTGTTCTGATACATTACCAGAAAAAAGGGACATACCCAATCTATCATAAGAGAAAATAAATATAGAAGAGTTGACATATGGAATAGTTCACATCCTCACACACGTACACACACTAGACTCGTCGCATACACACGCTGACCACACACAGTCATATGAATACTTACTTACAGTGAGATTTGAAACGTTTTGGAGTTCGGGTTTGGGAAAGATCGATTGGATGACTTGTTCTTCTTGAAATCAAAAGGATTTCGAATGCTTGAAATTGATCACTTGTTCTTCTTGAAATCAAAGGGAATTTGAATGCTTAGGGTTAGGGTTTTGGAGTTAGGGTTTGCTCACTTGAAATCAATTTCGAAGCTCAATTTCGAATGCTTGGAGTTAGGGTTAGGTTCAATGCTTGAATCGATTTGGTTGAAGGCGTGAATAGAATGGTCTGGTTGAAACACACTCACAAGTCCCCTCCAAATCCGCCTGATACACGCAGGTCTTGTATATGGAATGGTTGAAGATGATTGACTTCTTCTTTAGGATTAGGATAAAAGTGCCCAAAGTGTAATATCAAAGGATAAAAGTGTAATATAATATGATAAGTAAGTGTAATTATATACCAGGATCGGTGCACGATTCCTACACCGGTCATAATTCATCCATAAGTAAATTACACTAACACCGCTAAACTATAACAATATTTTTATTTTGCTCCCTATATTTCACCTTCAAGTAATATTTTTATTCCACATTACCTATATTTATATTTCACCTTCAAGTAATATTTTTATTCCACATTACCTAATTAAAAACGTCTATTATTTTTTTTTTTGCAGAGAAAATACATAGAGATAAAGTAAAATAATTTTTCCTTAAATATATAACTGATATTAATAATTGGGTTAATAATTGATCTTAATAATTGGGTTGAAACTAATCAAATAGTTGAGAGTTACAACTTTAATTGTAGGATTACAACTTTTTTGGATAGGTACACATTTAATGGATATGTTACAATTTTAATTGAAGAATTACAACTCTTTTGGATGTGGGTACACGTTTAATGGATATGATACAACTTTAACAATAGGATTACAACTCTTTTGGATGTGGTACACCTTTAATGGATAGGGTACAACTTTAATGGTAGGATTACAACTCTTTTGAATGAAGTTAGATCTTTAATGGATAGAATAGAGGTACAATTCTATTGGATATGGTACAATTTTAATAGATGATAACAACTTTTTTGAATATGAGTACAACTCTAATAGATGTTGTGCAACTCTTTCGATGAGATACAACACTATTGGATGCGGTACAATTTTAATGGAAGGTTCAACTTTTAATAGAGGGTTCAACTCTATTGGATGAGATACAACTTTTAGGATAGTTAATTGGTAACAACTTTTATGGTTCAACAATATACCGGTTTCACTGGTTTTAAAGAGTCACGTGTAACACACAAAGGCCAACTTATTTTTTGGTACGGTAACCAAAAGTAAGTTAGCGGTATAATAATATTTCACTGTGTTCCACACACGCTGTAACCATAGTGATGTGTACATTTAAATGTATGGGCATTTGCCGTCAAAGTGATGTGTACCCACGGATGTTGGTTGTCATATTATGAAAGTGTCCACCATGTGCCATCAATCTTTGTCATGCATTTTCCGTAACATTCATGCATTCATTTTCAATATTAACCACGGGTGTTTAATAAATTAAAAATGACAACAGTTAAAAGCAAACAAAATCTTTGTCGTTTGAATTTGAGTTAATTGATTAGGTTTGTGGATTTTCCACTTTAATACCTTTTTGGTAAGTTATTATGTAAGAGCATCTCTAACAGATAATTTAAACATATAAAATCTTCAAATTTTAATTATTTAGCCGAAAAATTTCATTTCAATAGATTATTTTCAAAATCTCTAAAATAATATTTTACTACAGTAATACTGTAGCGATATGTAAAATTTTTTTATAATATTTTCTCTCTCTTCCTCTCTTTTCTTCTATTCTCTCTCCTTCTCCCTTTTATTATTCAAAACAAAAATAATACAAAAGGAATAAGAAATAATAGTTAAAAGGAATAGTTAAAAATATAATAAATCTTTTCGAGTGTGTATTGAAAAAGTAAGTAGTTAAAATAAAAAATATTGTTTTTTGAATAGTTAAAATAATTTTTGTTGTTGGAGATACTCTATGTATGTCAAATTTTGACTTCGAGAGATCAAATTACAATTTAAGGGGATAATTTAAGAATGATTTAAGAAATATAAGATTGATCCTACCCATTTAAAATCGATCCTAAAATTTTGGACACCAATGAATGATAAATTTGATCTGGTTGAGTTATAATTTGATCCTATTATGTTATAATTTATTCTCATTAGGTTACAATATTTTTTGGCTAGTACCAAATCGGTACCATAGGTTTTGTTTGATGGAGTAATATTAAATATTTTGGAACCAATCAAGGATAAAGATTGATCAATATCAATTGGAGTAATATTAAAAAAGAAAAATCATGGGTTAATTACAAAATAACCCATTCAACTTTGGGTAGTTCGTCATTCACCTCTTTAGGTTTTAATTTCAACAAACATCTCCCTTTAAGTTTGAATATTTTGCAATTAATTCTAACAGTTAATTTTAGACCATAAAGAATTATGTAAGTTAGACATCAGAAATACATATGATCTCTACTTTAGTGCAAAAGAGCAATGTTATTAGAATTTAAAATTTTGACATAATTTATTAACTTAAGTCACTATGATATTTGGATTGATTGTGAGCCCATCAAGTGTTAGAACTTGATGTTAATCCAATGATTTTATTAAAATCACATCATTATGTCAGTAAATTATGTCAAATTTTTATATTTAAATAATATACAATTATCCCTGCAAAAGAGTGTGTGTGTGTGTGTGTGTGCGTGCGGTTGCTCGTATTGGTGTTGGGTGGAGGTAGATGCACAGGTGGAGGCGGAGGCAGAGGTGAAGGTAAACATGGTGTTATGTAGTGTGTTAGTGTTGGGTTGAACAAATGTATTTTTTTTTTAGCTTTTTTATTTTCTCATATATATATATATATGTGTGTGTGTGTGTGAGAAATAATGTATAAAATATAGGGTATAATGGTACTTTTATGTTACAACAATTATTGTCGGTCAATTTAGTCTGTTTAAAACTTGAAAGGGACATATTGTAACATTTGAAACCATAGGGAGCTTATTGTAATAAGAGACATAGTTGGAGATGACAAATTATAATTAACCCAAAAAACATTAATCTTATACATTTTGCCACATGCTAACATAGATTATCATATTAGCAACTAAACCATTAAAAAATATGTCTCACGGTCTTTTTTCTTTTCACGTAAATTCCACCATCTTTGGTAATATTTTCTTAGAAGAAAAAAAAAGATTTTTTGATTTTAAGAAATGACCCCACTAAATTGTGATGTGGAAAGTACAAGTTTGATGACGAAAATAATTTCAATGGTAACTCAATTGATAATAGAGATAAATTATAAATTTAAACATCTTGAATAAAAGTCTTGACAACCCCTTTGCGACCATGAGGGATAAAATCTCGTTAATATGTTAGTCCCGACATAGATGATCTGTTTTTAACTGGATCAGAAAAGACACTAATCGATAGGCATGTAAATTAATTCAGACATTTCTAACTTTTGCACAAAAAAAAAAAAAAAGAGGTTATGGATAGTACAAATTAGCTGTCATACCATTAAGTACTAAAAAGTGTGTGAAATTTGTTTGTGCATACCATTTACTTATCAAATCTCGGTATTGTGCTAGATTTGTGCTATCAAATTTCAAAAATGATTATATCACTACAAGAAATATATGATTATATCTAAAAAATTAATTTCTAAGGTAAAGAAATCTTTTACCAAGAAAAATATAATTTTCTCAACAAATACTTGTGCTCATTCCACTTCACACTTAGCAGGATCCTTGATTCCAAAATGAGCAAGTTTTTCAAATAAATTTAGTCTTACCAACAAAAAAATTTGTACTTGAGCAAAAAATTTGATTTCAATTTTTTTAATATCTTTTTCAATTTGAGTTGGTATATTCAAATAAAAACTCACTTGAAACTCACCAAGAAAATTATTCTGTAGGAAAAATTAGCCAAAATTGATCAAAGCTCCAGCGGGATGGTCTTTTAAGTCATTAACTCCAAGCAATGGACTTCTAAGGCGAAAAGAACAAGGTTAAGACCGTCTCCAATTCTTACTCAAATTTAAATTTGAGTAAAAAAGTTTAAAAAATTTGTTCCAACCTTGACTCAAACTTATATCCAAATCATGAGAGATTCGATTTTTTACTCAAATTAAGAGAGACTTAAATCCTTATTCAATTCTTTAATTGTGAGATTTTATCATTTTTCAAAGATTCAATGATTATCTTTACTCTCTTTTAAATTTGGGTTTACCCTCATTTAAATTTGAGTTTTTTTTTTTTTAAATTTGAGTTTGTTCATTGAAACCCTTTGTATCAAATCAAACATTTTACTCAAATGTTAACTTAAATTTGAGTCATGATTGAATATGCTCTAAATAGTCTTTTTTATCCTCTAATCCATTCTAATTTAAGATATTTTTTAAATGACCATCCTACCTTTTAGTTTCGACAAGAATGAGGTGTGACAAGTCTAAGGTTGAGATTTGCTCTATGGAAGCAACAACGAATGTCAGGATTCCTTCATATGCCCGTTGGAATGAGTGAATAGAAGCAATTCGAACAAAAAAGCGAAGGAGCACAACTGATGTCTTGCCTAAATAGTGTTGTGAAAATTGCAATTCTAGAATGCTACAAACAGAAAATAAACAAGGTAAGAAAATTTATTGATAAAAGTGTGTAGTCACTATTTTTAAGAATTGATTTCTGCTCCTCTTCATATGATACCCAATACAACAGGTTATGACGCACTATTCTTCAGAATTCA